GGTTACACCCCGTCGCCTCCATCCACGGCTCCGTTGCCGGCCAAGTTTCACGGCAATCGAGACCACTTGCTGTTGAACATCCGCAGCACACCGAATTTACCCTCCCAACCGGACCATCCGCGTCTCAAGGATCTAAGATTACCGGTGAAATCGTTGCTGAGGGCGAAGGACTCGCCGCAGAGCAGCGAGGGTAGCATACTGGAGATCAAAAGTAGACCAAAGGGTTTTGCTCAAGAAAATGTGGAGTCGTCGCAGGGACGACGCTTCGATAAAGAACTGATACTGGAGTTCAAAGGTAGGCCACGAGAGGAGAGGCAACGACCTCGCAGTCTGATCCGCGAGAGCAAACCCATCATGGAGTTCAAGGGCAGGCCCCACGAGGCGGAGAGCGATCTGCTGCGACCTCGTCGAGAGGTCGGCCTTTTGGAATTCAAATTGCGGACCACTAGACGCAGGGCGGGCTACTCGAGCACAGAAAGCATGGCCACCAGCAGCAGCGGCGGGAGCATGGAGTCTCTTCGAAGCAGCACCAGCGAGGGCAACAGGTCAACCAGCAGCTCCGAGAGCCGTCATAGCACCAGCCTGAGCTCCCACAGTTCCGACAGCGGCAGCACCAACTGCTACCATCATCATCAGCAACCGTCGATGACCGGTTTTTTAACCCATCACGCGAACAAACTGCACATACTGTCGCCTATTTCTGACAAGTCCTCTCAGGAACCCGCTTCGGAGACCTCCGATAATAATCGCAACAACAACTCGCAGAAAGCCTCGCCCGAGGAGAACGTCACCACGGAGAACAACGTGACCGTGTCCAACAACACTAACACGAACACCAACACGGTCAACACGAACACGAATTCCGTGACCTCGCCCATGGACACGTCGTTCAAGAAACGGCGAACGCCACAGAACAAGAATCTCATTAATTTGGCCCTGCAATCCTCGTCGTCGGGCGATGCGGAGATTCAAGGGTCGGACAGTGGCATCTCGATCGAGTCGCGAGCCGGGATCAAGTGCAAACCATTCGGCTTCCACTTGTTGAAGCCGCAGCTGGATAACATCAATCTTGTCGACAATGAACCCGAGCTGTCCGATCTACCTTTTGACATGCCGAAACTACGAAGGAGACGATTGCTTATGCAACAAGACGCCACCACGTCTGGCAGCGCTACCAGTGTGGATTTAAGGGATTTGCCGTTTGACATGCCGAAACTCAGGAGGAGGCTTAGGTGCATGCAGAGCACGGAATCCAGCGGGTCACAGGCGTCTTCCAGCCTCTCTGTACGGGATGTTGAGCCACCTGCGTTATTCGGTAAGTTTCGTTTTGTTAACTGGATACGTGTGTTACGTGATCTCTGGTATTAGATTGTGCACACTAATTGCCTCGAAAATCAATGTTCTAACTGTTCTACGCAATGTGTGTACAATGTATATGCTGAATTTAGGTGCATCTCTGTTATATTGCCTCTATATTGTCGGTGAAATTTTAAGCTAAGAAATTCAAAAATGTAGGAACTTACGTACACTAATATTTTCACGTGTAACTTTATCATTATAAATAACTAAAAAGAAGTTACTACTGCAAGAATAGGAAATTGCAGAAAAAGTGGTGTATGTCGAAGAATGACCATACACTAATTTTTCAAGTCAACCGACAAAATTAAGAATCAGTCTAAAAATCTTTAGAAAGGGATAGATACAGTTTTTAATGTGCCGTCATTCATTAAATATTTCTACCAGAGGCACATGTTGAAATAAACGTTAAAAGGGTGAGCTCAAAAGTCCCTTCTTTAATCGAGCGTCTAGCCATTAAAAGGATAAAAACCGTACTTTCGGCATCTCGGGGTAAACTAAGTACTTATCAACGCTAGGGGACACCGTAATTTGATGCTGATCGTTATGAACCTTCCAGACAGCGGCTAATATCGTTAAGCTTCACTTAGCGCCTACATCCCCTCGACGGCTAAATATTTAATCTTACCAACACACGCTTTTCAATCGTCAATACGCGTGCGTTTCATATATCACTGTCCGATGAATCGCTATCCTCGAACAATCTTGCCGTTCATTCTTCGGTTTGCAAAAGTTTAACATCTCCGCATATTTGTCTCACAATTAGGACGTTGCTTGGGAGAACGTGCCTTTGTGGAAACTTTAGACTGGTAATTAACGTTGCCTGCTTGTATACACGAGTAGCATCCTTTCTGAACTTTTGGTAGTTTCGAAAGTCATGCGACATCGCAATCTTCTTGTGTAACTCGCTTCCGCAAAGGTCCTTTCCGGTATCAAAACATGGAACATTGTTTGGGTTAGCCTTAGGAGGAATCTCTTATTCATAAACTTTGATCTTTTGAAGTCTTATGAAACATGTATCGCTGCAAGTTTGAATATAAATCATAGTGTAAAGATCTAATGAATACACTAAGAATAGTAGACATTTTTGTATCCAGTTTTGCTAAAATTCTTCTACTAAATTTTGCAATATTGCAAGAACATCGTATCCTGCTTAATTAATCGCATCTGCCCTATCACCACCCTTTTTGTCTTTCACTTCGATTAATCTCATCAACCATTAATTTTCCACCATTCGATACTCCAAGATTATCCATCTTCGAAATCGCACCTTTATTGACATTCGATGGCCGTTAAAAATAATCCCAACCCGGCGCACCTACACTCGTCCGTTTATCACAACGGCGTCCTCCGTGACGCTATTTACCGACCCCTTGATCCCCATAGCGCGATACAGATTTTGCCCCGAGGGCATTGTCGGTGAACTCTCGCGTTAGAGCTTTTGCAATTTCGGTCCTCGGAGGGCGGTCTCCCATCAGAATGCAGGATGAAACTTCGTGGGTACCATGTTGCTCGCGAAACGACGGATTTAGATGCTTAATCGGCCAACTAATTCCGAACGCCTACTACTGGATGAATTCGAGGATCGGGGACGATCGGTGATCGATGACGCGTAAATGTTCTACTGACACATCTGATAAATCCCTGATTGCGGTTCCTTTCCCCGATCCAGGTTGTTAGGTGGGTATTAAGGTGCTGGATTACTTCGAGATAGCTTCAATTTGATAACAAATCCATAGCTTTGCAAGTCTCTGTCTGGATAGGAAAATCTGATTTTGAATTTGAGGGAAGCTGGTAACTATGATACTTGTGATAATATGTAATTATGATAATATGTGATGTAACATATTAATATATGATTTAACATAGTGTAACATATTGTTGGTATTGTGTAGTGTAACATTCTGCAGATATATTCATATAACATGTTACATGTGACACATATCTTGTGTTAGGTGCAACGTACATTGCTACATATGACATACTATTATGTCAGGGGTAACATACATTACTGCATACGTGTCTCGTGTCTGATGTACCATACGTCGTTACATATGACATACATGATCTAACGTTGGACACAACATACATTGCCACATATGACATCCCTTACATTACACGAGACATACATTAATACAAGACTTGCATTATTTTATCATATCGATCAAGCTATTTAATTTCAAATATGCTCCCACATTATTGGGTTAATTTACTCGTTACAATATGTATAAAAGCAGTGCCACGGAATAACCAATTAACAGTAAAAACAAACATGGAAGTTATATCCGTATCGAGTGATGAACAAATTGATTTATTCGATTGAACAAATAAACCCATGGACGTGTGAATGACGACCCGTCGGTGTATCGCGTAGCAACATTTCCGGCTTCCTGATAACCAAAATTGATCGACGCTCGAGTATAACGTAGTACAGCCTGTTTTCCATATCTCTCGCGCTTGTCGTGTTTCACAGTCCTGATTTCATTCACCGTAACCGCAGGATAATGGATAAAGTCCCGGCTAGCTTCGATAAACCAACCTTTCCGCATTATGGATTCACGAAAAGTAGGCTAAACACAGAATTCAGTGAACCTTAGCATTGGCAAGATATCGAATAAGCCGATTGGTTTCATTTATCAACTTCGAGTAATTACAATTGCAAAATTTTATTTACATTTTTGTATTTGTTACAGGTCATGTTTTATTCATGTAATAAAAGAATAAAGGGATAATAGTGGATGGTTTAGGATAAAATACTACAGTTTTATTCAATTATTCTAAGTATTCAAATAATGAACAGATGTCAAAATAAATCCAAGAATGGTTACAAATAACATTCGAATGCGTTCTTAATTCAATCGACCCATTCGTACAAGGGTTCTCGGACGATACCCCGATCCTTTTGATCACAGCCTCGAAGCAATCGAGATGCCGTCATTTTTTCCTGGTTGATGGATGTCGGCCGATTCGTAGCCGTAAATTACGTTTTGAAGACGGAAAGGGCGGAGATAAGGCGCGTTAGCACGCGATCTAAAACAGATTCACGAAAATCTCCGTACTTTTTTCTCCGCGTCGAGCTACCGTCGATTACTTATCGTACCCGGGCAACTTTAAGCACGGATGATCGATCGGTGTATTTGTTTCTTGTCTCGGACGATTTTATGAGTCTGCTGATGGATCGCGTGCAAAAACAGCAATTTCCAAGCGAATTACCGACCAAATGATTGAAAGAAAGAACCCGGGAAAAACTTTGAAGGAAATTTTTACGTCTTTTTAGTGCTAGTTTTTGCTATAGTAATTATACTACCTGAAATCGTGTCGTTTAAATGTTTTTTTGTCGTATTTCCTATTTCTGTGTTAAAATGATTGAATTAGTTTTAAAGTAAGAGGGAGTTTGTTACATCGTTTAGGTGTTCTTATATATTTTCTATTGTTGTGTTAAAATTATTGAATAAATTTCAAAGTAAGAGAGAATTGGTTATATCGTTTAGCTGTTGTTATATAATATTTTCTATTCTTATGTTCAAATCATGGAATAATTGTTTAGGTCGTTATGAAGCTTATGTTTGAAGGCAACATTTTATGCTCTATGGTTGAAGCAGCTTGAAGGGTACAGCGCCGCTTTAATTGGCCTCGGATGAGAGCGGCGCTCTTTTATCGGCGTTAACCTTCATGGCATTATTACGTCATTTTTATTACGGTAATTGAAAACCATCAATGCGTTAAAACCTTCCGGCGATAATAAATATTCTCGCGAGAATCTCACGGAGATTTATTACATATGGAAATGTTTCAGAGGTGAATTTAAAATCTGGAGAATTTAAAAATTCAGGACCTTGAAAATATAAAAATCTGAAGATTCAATAATCTCATAAGTTAGGTACTTGAAAAAATTTATTTTCAAAATGTAAAAATTTAAGAATTTCTTAAAAGATGTTTGAACTCGAAGATTCAAAAAAAAAAATGAAAAAACTTGTCAATTTGTATTTTCACAAATTTATGAACGCAATCAAATATAATTGTGAAATTCTTTTTCATTAGCAGTTTCTAAGCCGTAGACCTATTCAGGAACGCTAAAAGTCTGCCATTAATAAACTCTGCCTAAAAGTGCATAGTTTTAGTGCGTACTCAGCACCGTTGCAATTCTTTCGTATATCTCCGAGGTCACAATTGAGCCGGGCTCCGTTATTCCAAAGTTAAAAAAGCACATTTTCTGTAGCTAGTTTCCTATTTGGTCGTTTTAACCGCGACGACGGCCGACTAACCCGGAAGTAGCACGGTTCCGCATTGTGCTTGCGAACAAAACGTCCGAGGTTGTTCTCCCGCGAGCTTGTGTTCACAATGCACGAGAGGCCAGCAACGTGAACACAGAATAACGGTTCGAAGCTTGAACCGCAGTATCTTTGTTCACGTGCGCTGTGCACGTGTTGCATTCGAAGCGTGTGCATCGTTGCACGAACGGAAGTGCAAACGGCCGCGACACGTGTGTTTCGTATTGCAACAACGATGGCGCGGGGGCGTGCTGTCACGTGAAAGATACAGCGGGAACGTATTGGAAATATCGGAAATATTACGCCCTACTTGCGGTTGCCTCTTGTAAACGTCAATGGCGACCCTTTCGTTAAGCGGCTCCTGTCAAAGATGCGCTTTTTGCGACCGACGGAAATAGCTTGGGATCGATGTTGCGTCGTCGCAATGTTTCAATCGGCAATTCGTAAATTTTGATTTTTATCGTAAATTTATGACACGTTTATTAACAAGGATGTTTGTATTGAAAGTGGTACGTTGGCAGGTTGAAGGGTGACATGTTATTTAAAATTTTCATTCATTTTCGCATTCTTCGTTTACTTCGACAGGTTCAGAACATTTGATCACTTTACTGTAAGGTTAAAATTTTGTATTGACACATTCATTGACAATGGCCATATTGAAAGTGGTGCACACCCTCTATGGGGTGTT